TGTTTCATTGGTTTTGCTTCTTTGGAACACTTGGCCTCAGACAGGTGGCCTGTGATGTAGTGAATTTCCTAATGTCTCTTCTAGTCATAGTCTGTAACTACCACCAAACAAAGTTTCTGGATCCCAACTGAGGTGAAAGGAGCTGCAGGGAGCTGGGAGTCTCACAGCTGTTGAGGGTGTTTTGAACTTCACCTATAAATTTGGGCAGAATTTTCCTTGACCACATTGGTGGCACCTGCCTGTTTTCCTGTGCGAACTGCAACACGATCCTAACCCACCACTCCGAGCTCATCTCCACTCGCTTCACATGTGCCACCGGCCGGTCATTCCTTCTTAACAAGGTAGTTAACCTGCAGTACAGTAAATTTCAAGACCGGGTCATGCTTACAGGCCGCCACATGAATCGAGACTTGAGCTGCAAAAACTACAGTAGCAAACTGGGATGGATCTATGAGTTTGCCACTGAAGACAGCCAGCGTTATAAGGAAAACCGTGTGATCCTGGAACGAGCTCTAGTTCGAGAAAGTGAGGGCTTTGAGGAGCACGTACAATATGATAACTCTTGAAGAAAAATAGAGAAATAACAATCTTCCCTAGGTCTCCTTCACTGAAAACAAAAACCTACTTACATACACTGTCACCTTAGCATGAGAGTCGGATTCATGGATTGTGGAACAAGAGCTTGTGAGAATCTAAGATGGAACCTTTCTTTCTTTCTGATTTTTAAAAAAATTTCCATCCAACAGCAGTGTGTAGAAAAGATTATGCAGGTGCCATTAAGTTTTTTTGTTTTTGTTTTTTTCCCCCCTATGTTTACATCTTGAGGCAGGATAGTCTATTTGCAGCTATATAATAATAGGCTAAGTGAGGGCAAAAATCTGGGCTATTAGAGTGAAAAGTGTTTCATGTCAATTTTTGAAAGGAAAATAATGTCAAGAGCATGGTTTTTAAACATACTTAGGCTTCGTTTTAAAACCTTTTTAAAACTCAGTTATTTCACCTGGTTCGCTAGCTAAAGAGAATTGATCTGAATGTGTGACCAGCACTAAAGGTCCAGTGTTGGTGTGGCTTGTCCTGACCATTGTGCCATATTCCTGTTGGAGATGAACCGTAGCACCAGAGCCCATTCTACCTTGTGAGTCTTGACCCAAAGATGTCACCATTCCTAGTTATTTGTCACCACATAATTGGTGTTGATTGAAAAGTTTACCTGAAACGGGGCAGAACTGCTTGATTGTCTTTTCCCATGTAACTTAAGCCTCGTAATATAAATAAAGTGATAGTTGGATGTTTAAAAACACAAAAAAAACAAAGTTTCTGCCCTTGTGGGTTTGGGTAAGTAGAAGTGAGAAACTACCCACATTGCAGTTCAAACCAACCTTGTAGTCTTGTGCACTAATCCATAGTACTACACTAGGACTTTTTAGAGCAGTTCTATTCTGTTGCAAAAATATGGCACTAAACAGTACCTCCCACAACCCTCTCTACTTCTGTATTGGGTTTGATCATTCATTTCAGTGGAAACACAGGAGCTAGATATCATATTCACAGTTATGGTGTTTATTAGGGAAGTATTCAGAGTTAGAAATATATACAGCTCTTTCAGCTGCGACAGACTCTCTTTAGCCATGTCCAGAAGCAGGTTTATCTCTGATCCAACAGTGTTACAAAGCTCTTTTACAGATGCTGATGAATGCTCACAAGGTACACTACTCCACCACACATCTCAGCTTGAAAGTAATTGGCTCTACCTCCATGGGTCAGAAAACCTAGCTCTCAAAGTTAGGTGGCAAACCTAGCTTCTTGGTGGCACCCTACTCTACAAGCAAGCCTCCTACCCAGAGTCAATCAGGTTTACTTGCTTTGTAGGAAGCACAGTGATCTGCCTTGTGCTCTGGTTCTTGATTTCTCTGCTACTGCTGTTTTGTTGGAAGTTCAATACCCAAGGGTCTTAGTGTCCAATGGATACACTCTACCCTGGCTCTTCTAATTTGATGGTATTGATATCCCCTTTTGTTCTTGTAACCTGGTATACTTTACACCCATGCTAGAGTTTCTAGTTGTTACAGTTACAATGAAATGTTATACCATCCACAGCTTAATCATGTCATTATTTCATAATTCAAATGCACCAATTGTTCTATGGTCTTCGTTATTCACTATCCAACTCTCACAAGCATGTGAGGCAACTGAAAATACTATGGTTTGGGTCAAGAATAATACCTTAATCTAAAGGTGTTTTTGCTTTATAATCTTTTAAGAGGTCTTACACAACAGATTTATTAAAAGCAATTTGTCCATTGATATCTTGACTATTGTTTCCATAAGCATTGATTGTAGATCCAAAAAAAAAAAAAGAAGTCTTTGACAATTCAAACATTTTTTCCCATTTATAATGATGTTGTTTAATGGTTGTGAGGATTTTTGCTTTCTTTACGTTGAGCTATCATCCACACTGAAGGTTATTGTTTTTGATTTTCATCAGAAAATGATTACTGCCACGACAACAGAACTACACAATACTGGAAGTCATTGTTGTTAGGTTCTGTTGAGTCCATTCCAACTCATAGTGACCTTTCATAGGATTTCAAAGGAGCACATAGTGATTCTGAACTGCCAGTATTGCAGTGCAAACAGATCTTTCAGTTCAGTGCTTATCTTACAGTGTCACACCCAGAATGGTGAATATTATTGTATGGACTATAAAAGATTTCATGGAAGAACTCCTAGGTGAACCTTGAAGGATAGGTAAGGTTTGGGATGATAGAAATAGAACTATTGTAATAGTTAGAAATCTGCTGAACACATAGTCCTCCCCAATTGGTGGTGTAGTTAGGATTGTTGGTCTTGTTGTTGTTGTTGTTAGGTGCCAGTGAGTCGAAACCAATTTATAGCAACCCTATGCACAGTAGAACAAAACACTGCCAGATCCTGGGCCAAACTAACTACTTTTGCCACGCTTGAGTCCATCGATGCTGCCACTTGACCAATGCATCTCATTGTGGGTCTTTCTCTTTTTCTCTGGCCCTCCACCTTACCAAACGTGATATCCTTCTCCAGCGACTGGTCCCTTCCGACAATATGTCTGAAGTATGAGAGACGAAGTTTGGTCATCTTGGACTCCAAGGAGCACTCTGGCTGCACTTCTTCCGAAATGTATCCTGTAGTCAAATGTGTTCTGACTCAGTGACCATATGTACAACAGAAGGAAATAGTGCCTGTTTCTGTGCCGTATTCTACTGCTTGCTAAGCTTGAGTCCATTGTGACTGCCACTGTGCCAATCCATCTAATTGGGAGTCTTCCTCTTTTTCACTGATCCATCACTTTACCTAGCATGATGTCCTTCTCCAGGAACTGGTCCCTCCTGATAATGTGCCAGAAGTATAAGAGTCTTGCGATCCTGGCCTCTAAGTTGCAATCTGGTTGCACTTCTTCCAGCACAGATTTATTTATTCTTGTATCAGTCAATGGTAATTTTAATATTCTTCCCCAACACCATAACTCAAATGCATCAGTTATTCTATGTTCTTACTTGTTGACTGTCCAGTTTCCGAATGAATATGAATCTATTATAAATATCATGACTTGAATCTGGTACACCTTAATCCACAAACTGACATATTTGCTCTTGACAACTTCTAAGATGTCTTATGTAGCAGACTTGCCTTATGCAGCAAGTCGTTTGATTTCCTGACTGCTGCTTTCATGAGAGTTGAGAGTGGATCCAAAGAAAATGAATTTTTGACAAATTCACTCTTTTCTCCATTTATCATGATGTTATTTATTGGTCCAGTGGTGTGGATTTTTGTTTTCTTTACATTGAAGTTCAATCTGTAATAATGGCTGGGATCTTTTATCTTCATCAGTATTTTAAGTCCTCTTCAGCAAGCAAGGTTGTATCATATGCATATTGCAGGTTGCTAATGAATTGTCTTCCAATCCTGATGCCATGTTCTTCTTCATATAATCCAGGTTCTCAGATTATTTGGTCTCACTTAACTTGGTAAAATGTGCAATCAAGATATATTGATAATTGCTGGTAATTTGAATGCAAAGGTTGAAAATAAAGAAGGATCAGTAGTTGAAATTTATGACTGTTGTTATAGAAATGATGCTAGAAGTCTTATGTTAGAATTGAGTAAAATCAATGATTTATGCATTGCATATTTTTAAACTAAATTAAAGATGACTACACACATGGACCTCACCAGATGGAATACAGAAAAATCAAATTCACTACAAGGCCCAGGACAAACTGTGGAATAGACCATCAATTACCCATATGCAAGTTCAGTCTGAAGCTGAAGACAATTAAGACACATCCATGAGAGTCAAGATATGACTGAGAATATATCCCACTTGAATTTAGAGATCACCTCAATAACATTAGATACTAATGAACGAACACCAGAGGAATAGTGAACACCATGCAGGTAGGACACAAAAGTTCAGTTAAAAAA